ATATGAAGTAGAATGATTAGGTTAATTAATTAGGCGAATTAAAGGTTAACTAGGGGGTAATTAAGGGTTAATGGCGCGGATGGATCCAGTGTGAGGAGGGCATACGGGTTATGGTGGGCACGCGCAGGTACGACCGTGTGATGAGATCTTATGGTGATGATCGTGCGGTGCATGGTGTTGTGTGTGTGTGTGTGTGTGAGCATACACTAGATTACAATAACATAAAACCAAACGAAAACAAACAGAAAAAAACAATTGAACCCTAAGCCCCAAATTCTGCAATCTGCCGCTCTGCTTTTCAATTCCCTCCTTCATTGTTTTGCCCTCGCTTCCCCTTTCATCTTCTTCGTTTCTTCCTTCTTCTCCATTTTGCCATCTCCATTCATTTTTCGCCGCGATTTCTCCTCAATCGCTCCTTCGTTTTGTTTTCCTCCTTGCCTTCCTACATCAACAATAAACAACAACAATAATTAGCAAAAGAAATCACCTCACGATTAAAATGGGTTTTGGTTTTGTGGGGTTTTTCGAAAGCGGCGGTTGACGGCGACTTGCAGCTTCCAGTCGGGTTAGTGCTCGGAGGCGCGAATCTGCAACGGTTGTTCGAGGGGGATGGCCACGATGCAACTCCAAAAAGGATAAGTTTCTTGTTTTTCTGCAATTTCTGGTTTTATGATTTTTGGTATTTCGTCTTGGTTTGGCGAATTTTGGGAATTAGGGTTCTTGTTCTGTGACCTGTTTTTTTTATTTTCTTTCTGAATCTCCCTTTATAGTCTTACCATTCCTCTGCTAATTAATCTCATGATTTCCTGTTAAAATCATTACCAATTTCGTACGAACATGTTTATCCGGTTTTGGAAATAATTACCACCTTGTCCCCTTTTGAATTGATTCATTTGGAAACTTTCTGTTTTGAGTTGTATCCCTTAATAATGCTTGATAAATGAGAATTGACTGTTGATGACGGTATTTGAGACACAAATTGATTTCCTGACTTTAACATGTCTAAAACAACTTTGGAAGGATTTCGAAATCTTAATGACCGTTGATGTTTATTGGAGGTACCGGGAGATGATGAATCATGAAGTGATGAACATTTTCCTTCCAAATTTTGACCGTGCTCTAAATTGAAGAGGCGTTGCCTTACTTGCAGGAAATAGGAAGTCGTTGTTCTACAAAATTCGAAGCTTCCAATTGGTCTTGGCCAAAGACGGTTTCCATGAGTGTTCTGCCGAGCTTGCTCTTATCATTATGTTCACATTCAGCTTATTAATTCACTCTGATGAATTGCATTTGAATTTGCAGGGATTTCTTCGGCAATAGCAGGTGAACTAAATTGTCCTCTGAATTGGTTGAAAGACTGGACAGGGTCTGCTGTTGATGGAATGTTTCGTATTCGGAATGGCGATTGCAGCCGGCTCTTGATGCGTAACGATGATGAGGTTTCACACTACTTTGTATTTACCATTGGTAATTAGATCAACCTTGTCAAGCACGTCTTAAATTGTATCGAAACTCATAAATATATGTTGTTTCGATATGGCCATAGTTTACGCCAAAATAATGTATTCTCTGATCATTGCCTTGGATATTTGAATCGCATCTTTGTAGATTGTAACATTGCATTGCTAACTTTATCAAATTCCGTTGGCAGGTTTGGAATGTGAGCTTGGAAATAGTAACATGACGATTTGTCGCACGGCTTTAGTTCATTATGGAATGAAGCTTGTATTAGTTAGGACAAAGTGTGGACTTGAAATGAAACAAAACTGCCACGTTGACTTCATCATTCATGTTTGTCAAGAAAAGTTTCATGAAGCATATGGGTTGTAGTTATCAAGTCAAATGTACATTCTATAAATCTTCTATTGTATTCCAATTGTAGCATTTGTTTCCTTGGTACTTGTATCTTTGGAAAAACTTGTATCTCTTGGTTAATGAATTCGGTGGATTTGAACTCTAAATTCATGGCAACCTTAAAATAGTAATAAATCAATCCTGGCAATACAAAGTCAACTTGTATCTATGGATGCTTATAGATACTGAACATGATTCTAAAAAAGATACAACTTTCTAAATCTTTGTAACCTTAATCATAGCATTGAGTTTGGAATAATTCATATATTGCCTTGAATTAAAATGAATTGCAAGCCTTGGCATTTGTTGTAGTTCCTTAAAACTTGGTCATTTGAATTTAACCCTTCTTGTCTTAAAATCGTGTTTTTTTGAAATGAGCTGAGTTTACAAAAAAAGGTGTCGTGGTACCTCATAGTATAATTTCCACAATAAAAACCAATCCTTGTAAAGAAAATAACGCATTGATTTGACTTCGGGGAAACTCTTTCGAATCTCGTGAATCCTTCCACGATTTAATGGTTTTGTAAGTCAATAAGTTAAATTAACTTTGTCTTGACAACAAAATACCCAAGTCTCAATCATGGTTCTTATCCATACTTGTCGTATCAACAAATCGGACTCTTTCTCATAAATGACGATTCAACCTTTCGGACGACGATGGTACGCGAACTATGTCTTGAAGAAACCTTGAAAATAACGACACCATTCGTGATGCTATTCCTCCTTAAAGTCATAACGGGCCTCAAATGCTCGTGCTCAATAACATTAATAATTTAAACCTCTGTGGCAAACATTGGAACTCTTGAGAAACCCTGATAATACAACCAAAAGAAAGATCTCTGGATCCCCAATCCAACGATCATATCTTGAAGTACTTGACTGTGAAGATTAACACTTGCTTTCACTGCACCTGTACAAATTGGTTAGCCGTAATAAACATACATATAACAATAAAACAAGCAAGCAAAAACAAGGAAACAGGATCTTATGGTCAAAAATTAGGGTGTGACAACTCCACCACCGATCATTTTTGTCATAAGCTAAACAAAGGCCCCATCGGGTTATGCAGCAGACCCGGTTGAAACCTCCTCATCACAGCTACCTTGAACTCCTCCCATGTCCTCAGTGGGGCTTGCTCCTCCCACCACTAGTACCAATTCAAAGCCTTGTCCTCCATAGCCAACAATATCGCGTCTAGTTTGTCACACATCCTTACACCATTCAAACGAAAGTATCTCTCGACCCGCACGAGCCAACCATATGCGTCCTCTCCCTTGAAAATGGGAATCTCCAGCTTCCTTCTTCTTCCCATGGTTCGCCCTCCTTCGCCACCCCCGTAACGGCGATTTCTGGGCTGAGATTCGTGCGAACGGTTACTCCTTATGCTCCCGTCATCTTCATCGTCGTCGGATCCTCTGTGGTGACCCGGACGCTCCTGAATGAGCTGGAGAATCTGCTCCACTGTCACCTGAGGTCTGGATTGTTGCTCCGTTACGATCTGTCGTATCTGTTCTATCGTTTCCACGTGATTCTCCATAATACCACGCGTAAAAACCATCCGTAGAGTAAGCGAAACCAAGGCTCTAGATACCAAATTGATATAATCAATTTAGTATCTAACAGAGAAATGCAGAAATAGTACAAAGAAATGGATATAAAGTACTGACTGTATTCAAAAAATAGGCTACAGTTCAAATGGGATATAGCAAAATCAGTACAATAAAATGCATGAATAGCGAAAATAGAAGAAAGTTGATATAGGCACTTTGAGAGGTCTTATCTCTCCTAGAAATCAGATCCACTCAAATATCTTCGTACCCACAAATGATTGGGACGCAATTATTTATGGAATTATTCCTAGATCCTATTACCACCCAGCTGCTGCCAGCTGTCCCCTCCCCATGTGATTCTGCTAACAGAATTTGTCATATTCTCTCTCACGTATTGCCTCCCATATCTACCAAGAATACACGAAACAGTCTTCAAATTCCCTAAATATAAATTAGTAATAATAGAAGGAAATTATTGCTGATATAATAGCCTTTTAGCTTATCCAAAAAGATTGGGGCCAAGTTAACACTAACAGGCTTATCCACAGCGTTTTTGTCAAAAGCAAAGTTAAAACTATATATTCGGCAGGACAAGTATACAAATCACAAAAGCACCTTGGCCATCCCATACCACTGGATCTGATGATTTAAGCCCTGCCAAAACAAAAGCTAAAGGGAAACATAAGAAAAGGAAATCCTTATCCTCTAGGAAGTAGGAACAACTAAACATGTTCAATAAGTGATTAACAAATAACCACTACCGAGTAAAGTATCTGAGCAAATGCCTCTCTGCAAAGCCTTTGGCATTGGCTTCCAAGCATGTGCACAACTAAAGTAGCAGACTAACCAATCAGCAAAAAAATGACTCACAATTTTACACTACCATGGGATATAGTTCATCATCAAGACCTCATATCTTTATACGGTATAATACTTTAATCTCTTCTACCCTTTACTCAACTTAAAGACGTATGATTCAACAACTAAAACAATAAGCAGCCAATGAGGTTGCCCGGCTGCTAACCAAATCTGTATCAAGACAAAAAGGTAGTACAAAACTGCTTGAAAAATAGTAGAGAAGAATTGAGACAAAAGTAATGACTGTAACTCTGTGAGAGGTAAGCTAACTAGGAAACACTTGTGACAAAAATAGATGTATACTTGTTTCTTTCCAAACAAACATCATCCTCTCGTCTTATTTTGGTTTTAATTTGTATATTATTTGAGATCAATATCATAAGCAAAGTAATGGACATCAGGTAATAAACTTTTGTATAAAAAAACCACAAGCAAAATTGTATTATATAAGGCTATATATATCATGTTTCTGCATGAATGAACATCACTTATGCAACAATAGTAAATTTAAGGTATAATAACTCATGTTCCTTGCAAAAGACATTATTAGTTGTCAAATTACAACAAGTATTTCTAGTCTAAACGGTTGTGGTTGTCAAATTACAACAAGTATTTCTAGTCTAAATGTTTGTGGTTTTCCGTTCAATCAATGAAGGAATCATATAGGGTGATCAAGTGACTATTTCAAACTGAAAAAAAGTCAAAGATACGTGAGAGGCCTGAGGCCCTTTGCATATCTCACCTATCTTCAAAACCAGATTCTATATTGCAGTCATGTTGCGTCATGGTTGTGGATACTCTTGATGCAGCTTCCCAAATTACAGTCACAAACCGTTTCTCAAACATTATGTGAAACTTCTTTTTGATCTTCATATTATGTGAAACTTCTTTTTGATCTTCATACATCTTCAACAAATAAGAAGCTTCTTCCTCAAAACAATTCACAAATTTCTTCAAAAACACATCCTCAGAAACTTTGAAAGGTGTACCCGATTTAGCATCCTTAACCAAACCTTTAGATTCAAGATATTTCAAAACAAAAGCCCGAGGAATAAGCCGTTTCTCCAAACTCATCAGAATAAGTATTGGATGTTTAGCAAGCACACTAGACTCCCAACCAATGTGATTAACAAAAAACTTCATCACTGCCTCAATTTTATCCACAGATGCCAACATACACCATGGATGCTTCAAAAATGCTGACACAATATCTTCCTGCGACCAACCCCATTTCTTATACACATCAATCTTATTTTGCCAATGCGATTTGCCATTGATCTTAGCACGCAATGCCACAGTGAAAAATGTAGTTTTGGGGTTGAATCCCAATTCCATTAGTTCCATCACTGCCTTCTCAAATACAGGAGGGTTCTGAGTGAATACAGAATACCAATTTAGAAACAAAATACCAACTTTAGACTCAGGAACCCCATTTTTCAGCAGGAAATGAATATTCTGAGACTGGGTTTTAGAATAAATCATCCAAGAGCGTACTTTGAGAAAGGCGATAGTGGATTCATCGGAAAGTAAGAATCTTTTGAATAAATCATAAAATGGGATGATGGACTTTTGCAAGTTTAGGTATAAGAACCTTGGATTTTTGGCGATGATGTCGATTAGGTCAGAAGTGGAAGCACCCTTTAGGAGAAGGAAATTGAGTTTGGGGAGAATGGTTTTGTTGGGATGGTAAGTGAGAAGCTTGGGGCAGGTTTGGATGAGGTTGGAAAGGTGTGAAATTGAGAAGCCGTGGGCTTTGAATAAGGCGAGGACTGAATCGGGGTTTTGTGAGTTGTTGAGTTGAAGTTTGGTGGAGATTTTGGAGGCGGTTTCGGGAGAGAAGGCGAGGTTTTGAATAAGGTAGTTAAATGTGAAAGAGTGGTTTTGGGAAGAAGAAGAAGAGAAGGGTTTGAGAAGAAGATGGAGAATGGGAGAGGGTTTTGTGAAAGGGAGGTTAGGGTTATGGCAGAGACGGAGATAACAAAACATGATGATGGAATTGGATTCATACCAGTGTTGTTGCTTCGACTATCGGAGTTGCGGTTGCGCCGCCGTGAAAATGGGTAATCGTTCGATCCTTTTAACTCATGTCGCCGTATTAGAGACACCAATGTTGTTTTGAAGAAAGCTAACGAAGCTATGAAGCCTAAAACTCCAAAAATGAAGACCTAGGTTTTTAATACGTTTTTTTTTTAATTTTAAATATCGGGTTTTATATAGACAGAAGAAGAAGATACCCAATTGCTAAACATGAAATAAAATTGACTAATTTTTTCATATAAAAAAAAGTGAACACTCCAGGATCTGAGATTTAGTCGGATACCGATATTCTCGTCTAATAAAAAAATCACATTCAATGTCATGTCATATATATATATATATATATATATATATATATATATATATATATATATATATATATATATATATATATATATATATAATTTTAAAATGCTTTTTATTATTTATAGTAAAAATACTTATACCCAACTACTTATCATGGGTACCTAAGAAACTGCCATTAAAAAATGATGGTATTAACTTGTGGAAAATTTTACTCCATACTCCTACAATTATATTAATATCCTTATTTTTTTTAAAATATCAATTTTATCCTTTTTTTATTTTTTACTATTCATGACAGACTTTTGATATTTGGACGCAACTGTACCGAAAAGACTTGGCAAGAGAGTTCTAGTTTGTCACAAAATCTGTACCGAAAGTCTAACCAAAAGAGTTTCGGTATTGGAGCGCAATTGTACCCGAACACTTTTTAAAAGTTATCTGATTTGTTTGTTTTATGTACCGGAACACATTTAGAAAGATGTCCGGTTTATTTGATTTTACACACTAAAACTCTTTCAATAAGACTTCCGGTTTGCTTTTTTTAAAGTTGTTTTTTTTATGATTTTTTTATACTGCATGTATGGAAATTCCTCCAAAAATATGTGTAGATACTTCTGATGTTTTTTCAACTAGTCAAAGATTTGGTACACGAGAAGAGGTGATAAGGTGGATTAAAAATGTTAGAATCCGAAATAAAGTAACTGTTATTATCACTCGTTCAGATACTAAAACAGGTAAGAGAGGAAAAAATAACAAATTAATATTTGGTTGTGATAAAGGTGGGAAATACAAGGATACTAATAGTGGAACCCAAAGTGCAACAAAAAAAATGTGGATGTCCATTTAAAATCAGGTCGACTCCAATGAAAGATGGGTCTGGATGAAAGATTGATGTAAAATGTGGATGAGAAATAAGTCAATAAGTCTAATAGTTAACACATAAACATAAACATAAGCACAAGTCAATGTGAACTAGAAATACATAAAGCTTCAAATAAATCAGCAAACTGTGGATCATCCTCTTTAGCATCAACCTGTCGAAGATAGCGATGAATCAATGTAGAAACACGAGCCCAACTAGGATCAGATAGTTTTGCATCGTAAACAGGAACTGACATCTCTCTTGGCGCATCATGAGAGGCGGTACCAAACGAGGATGCAAAACACGATAATACCACTCAAGATATCCATCATTTGGTTTAGATGAGGTGGTGGCCAGTGTTGTCAGAAGAATCACGACAAGGAAGCTCTGGTGGTAACCAATCCACTAAACATCAATATCATCAGCCATCATGTAATCAGGAGGTGGGGGTGGAATATACTTAATGTATCCAAACTGAAGTATACATCTGCCAGACAAACATGGAACAACTATGTCACCCCATTTCAGACACCCCCTGTATAGATATAACTCATCAAACTGACGCCATAGCCTATGATCCTCGAATGGATACCATATGACGTTGACAGGTGTCAACTCTTTCAAAATAGGTCGCAACTCATCCATCTTAAGGACTTCTTGCTTATAGGACCATCTCGTCGCTCGAGTAAGACCATAATTTTGAGTTAGTATCCAATTCTCTCCATTTTTTCCAAGTGTTGAAAAATACTCGTGAATCCAGCATTGTTACAAAATTAATAATATTAATTAACTAAATAAAATCATTTATAACATAATAAAATAAATAAATAAATACAATATACTAAATAAAATTAGTTAAAACATAATAAAATAAATAAAAATAAAGACCTGTACGAGAGTAGGATAACCACCAAGCTGCTTGCAACCGAACATAAAAGCATCTACGAGATGTCTGTAAAGGATAACCAACGCAACAACTCCCCAATTGTATCCCGATAATATGTTCAAGTCCGTAAATAGTAAGAGGTATCGTGCCTCAACAAGCGTAAAGGTCTTGTCGGCAAAAATTGTGGAACCCACCAACATCAACAAATACATTCTAATAGCATATGCCCATCTAGAAGTAGCTTTATGCTCTTTAAATAAATCGTATAACCATTCCAACGTATCGTAAGAACCCCTGCAGTGAAAGACTTGTTCTTGTACCCTATATTGTGACATTCCTAAGTAATCAACAGCAAGTCCAACAGCAACCACTTCAGTGATATCTTGAGGGGCGGAACACTCCTATGATGGGCAAGTGAAGCAGACAAGAGACATCATCCAGAGTAATGCTTATCTCACCAAACGGCATGTGAAATAAAGATGTCTCTAGATGTCATCTCTCCATAAATTTGTAAACCAGGTTTGTGTCTATCTTCGTCAAATTGGTTCTCTGGAGTGAAGATAGACCAGACCTAGAAATCCAATCCTCCATCTCTTTTGAAAGTTGTTGTGAAACCCTCGATGTCGGCTTCCTCCCATGTCCAACAACCTTCAGCTCTTTCTTCGGGTCTCTCTCCTGAAAACAATTAAAAGTACGAATATAATAAAACACAACCTTAAAAATTCAAATATTATTCAATATCAAATACATGTCGTTTACTTACCTCACCAAACCATACATGTCTAACAATATGTTGTTCGTACTTAACTAAAAGATATGTATCTACAACCCTCCTGGATCGCCAACCGACTGTGCCGCGGATGCAGATGCATCAATATGCTCTTCCTCACCAGTCAATCTCGATAAAGTGCCCCGTTTTAAAGCACAATGTGAAATCTTACCCCCTCGTGTTTGAGCAACTGAAAAAAATTCAAAATGACAAAAAAAAAAACCCGAAACACATTGACAAAGAGTTCTGAAATGCAAAAACTACAAAACCAGAACTCATTTGAAGAGATTTCCAGAATGCAAAAATCACTAAACCGGAACACATTTGAAGAGACTTTCGGTAAACATATTAACAAATTGGAAGACTACTAAAATGAGTTTCGATACACATACTTAAAATCGGAAGACATAATAATTGATTTTCGGTTAACTTTTAACCGGAACACTTACTTTATTTGTTCCTGTGTGAAATTTGTGAACCGAAAGACTTTTGTAAAGTGTTCCGGTTTGCAGCAAAAATTTAGTATGCTCCGAAAGACTTTTGGAAGAGTGAAGCGAACTGAAAAAATTCTGAAAAATATAACTATTTATATGAGGGTATTTTGGTCTAAAAGTTTTTAGTGTAGGGGTATGGGGTAAAATTTTCTAGCATGTGCGATAATTTTGTTACAAGAATTTATGTCATTTTTAAAAAATTAAATACAAATTTCAAAAAATATATCTATACAGATAAGTTTTTAATTTGTTAATTTGTAAAAAAATTGATCACGCACCCTTCTTAGGGTCCCTTTCATTCAACGGAGCATATGAGAGGGGAGAAAGTTTAATAAAAGGGAGGTAAGAGAATGTATTTTAATTAAATGTATGTTTGGTCGAAGAAAAAGTTACCCAATTTAAAAATATGAAGATACTTTTAAGTCGCAATTTTTTTTTTCTTTTTCTCACTTTAGAATTTCAAACATTTGCATCGCTAAATCGTCATATTTAAAAAATATTATCATTATTTCATTTTGAATCAAATTTTACTCTAGTAACCATATATTTACCTATTCTTAAATAGGTAAGTATACATGTATTTGATTATTTATTTAAACATGTTAGTTTTTTTTGTTATAATTAGTCACTAATTCTTTGATTTAATGTTTTACTTCACTATTTTAATTTTAAAATTTTATATTTTAGTCTTTTAAATACACTTCTGTTAGTAGGGTTAGTCTTTTCCATCCAATTTTGTGGAGAAAAAAACGTTAAGTTCTGCTGATGTGACTTGACAACAAGGTTTAAGATATAAATCTGACTTAGCGTTTGTATTAAAAAATTAATAAACAATTTAAATAAGAGATATTTTATTTTCAGATGTTAAAAACCTCTGCAAATGGTTAATAATATATAAAAAAGTATAACAACTCTTTCTTCCCATAACTGTTTCTCTTTTCTCATTTCTTTCATCAAATTAAGCCTTCTCCTTCATGGTTGTTAACATTTCTGAGGGCTTTACATTTTTTCTCCACCGACCCCCTTGTCTTGTAGCACCGATTAATTAAGTGTACACAACAAAGCAAGCAACCAAGATATCCAAAAAGCCACTACATTTAATAATAATCGTTGAAGTTTATAAAAATACCAGGTCTACAATAATGCCAACACATTCTTCTTTAGTAATGATATCCTCTATATTTTCTCCTTTAACAAAAGATTTATAAATTAGTGTCTAGATGATGTTGATGTTACAGCAGAAACATTCAAATAGGATAAATAAACTAGTTAGCTTGATGAACTAACATGGGAAGGAACCACTCGAGACAACCAACTAAAATCATCAAACCTTGAGTACATTAGCCAACTCTATTAGAAGATCACCCATAAATCGCAACTATAACATAACAATTTTCAAACATCCAAATTTTGGGATAGCTCTGAATTGAATTATCAAATTGAAGTATATTACTACCTGTTTAAGATCATAATAAAAAAAAATTTCCTTATCAGGTAAAAATCATATTTCCCACAAGACTAGCTTCATCTTACATATAGCATTCACATTCACACTCACTTCAATATAATGGGTATAAAAAGATAATAGGACATTCATATGCAACCAAATAATATCATAGGAGAATAAGTCGT